CAACCTAACTAAGTAGTTGTGTTGTCTAAACCTAACTAAGTAGTTTATTTTTATTTTTTGTTTCAAACTGTTTTAGAAAATACGTTTCCCTCAAAACTTAATTTTTGCAGTTTAGTTGTATGGGGACATAATTTTATAATATCAGTAAATGATTGACTTTGATTCACTGAGTCAACCCTTCCTCGTTCCCAGTGCATGTTGGGACGGACCTTAGCCCCTTAAAAAAAACACCTCAACAGGATACAAATATTTTCTTTAACTCGTCTTAAACTGTGGTTGGTTATTGCAGCTTCTGTTCAGGAAGTGAACAGAAGAACATTTTAAAACATTGAGCTCTGAGCGTCGTCAGTAGTGACTTCATTAACATCAGTGTGAATTAGTCACACATCTGAAGAGCTGCAGCAGCACACTGTTGCTCTTACAGTCAACATGCAGAGTCATTAACAGAGCTGAAGATAACCACGACATTGAATGCATCAGCTGCATCAGAAATTCTTTCACTCGTTTTTATCTCTCTGAGAACTCGCAACACGTTTGTGGATAAATAGTAAATATGTTTCTGCTGCCGAGCTGGATGGTAACATTTGAGATAAAGTGAATATCGTGTTAGTGTTCAACAGCTACAGCTCGCATGAGGCGTGACAGGAATTCCAGCTGCAGAGTTAAAGAGGAATTCTTTGGTTTCAAGATTATCAGAAAATGTCTGTCACAGTTTGCTGAGGCCCAAATGTCATAGAAGACCTCTGAGAAGAAGCAGTGAAGTTTGAAGTAAAACAATTATCAAAACGATTGCTAATTAGTTTCAGCTCTAACTGCAATACAAGCAACGAGTCCACATCCTGTTAGTCATACAACACACCTGACATCGTACATTCATCATGTTTGTATTCTTTTAGCAGGGAAAAGTAAAACCATGTTGACAGATTTCTCTAAAACAAAGAACAGTGAGTAGAGTTTGGTGTGAAGATGAAATCCACCTGCCACATACGTCACATGATCATCCGTCAATGTACCGAGCAGATTTATCGACTTCTTCTACTGTATAATGAAGATACTTTAAGTACAGTAGAGACATTAACAAGTGTTTCTCTTTCAGGAGTGAAACCAATGAAATCAATCTAAGCGCTGATGATGAAGTGAAGTTTGTCCGACTCACATTTAATGTGTTTGAACATGTAAGAAGTGGACAGAGGTGAGAAACAACCAGTTCCAGCAGCTCGTTTATTCTCAAAGACGAGGAGTTCCTGTTTCCTGGAGTCTGTCCGACCTCTGCGAGTCTTCTGCTCACAGCTCATCTCTCTCCGTAATCCTCTTTACAAACTCACGTCTCAACAACTCATAAAAGCTTTGGACTGAAACACACCGATGTCCTGCTGCTTTACATCTGGTCTGATTCAAAAACGTAGAAACAAAGATGGAGGTCTACAAAGCCTCAAATCCTCTTCTGTGTCCCGGTGCAGCATTTACTGCTGACTGGAGTCTGCAGTATTTAAAGACAGAAGAAGTCTTCTTTTTAGCCTTTAGAACTTTTAAAATGCTGACTTTCATCATCTACTCATGTTAGGTCATCAAAACCCGAGTTATTGCATAAAAATAACAAGTTTATCACATCAAAAAAACTAAATTATACTAACAAAACACAAGTTTATACCATATAAGAACTATTTTATACCATCAAATGTCAAGTTTTGACTATTACAAACCCTCTTTTTAATCATCACACAATTGTATATCATTAAACCCAGTTTAAGCTTTGAATATCCAACTGAGACAAAAAGTCTAGTTCACTGTTGGTCATCAGATGTTTAGTTAGACGTCCAAAACCCAAGCTGTTGCACGTACAGTTTGTGCCGTCATAATCAAATGTTTATCAAAACCAAGTCTAGACGATCAAAACCAAGTCTAGACCATCAAAACCAAGTCTAGACCATCAAAACCAAGTCTACAACATCAAAACCAAGTCTAGACCATCAAAACCAAGTCTAGAACATCAAAACCAAGTCTAGAACATCACAACCAAGTCTAGAACATCAAAACCAAGTCTAGAACATCAAAACCAAGTCTAGAACATCACAACCAAGTCCATTTTAGGCTATCGATAAAGTTTAAACCATCAAACTCCAATGAAACAAACTTTAGACTGTTGAAAACTAATCCAGACCAGTTTAACCCAGTTTAACCCAGTTTAACCCATCAAACCCAGTGTAGACCACGGGACACCTGATCCCTTAAATCATGTGCGTGTCGTCCGTACAGGGAAACGTTTCCCAGAAATCAAGAAGCATGAAGCGACATTTGAGCCAAACATCCTCATCATCATCATCAAACATTTCCCATCAGCCCCTGCGGCGTATTATGACTTTGATTTGATTTATCAGACGAAGTCTCTCTAACAAAGCTAAACAAGAGGAGCTGCCAACATGTGACACAAACACGGATCGGTATGTTGTTAAAAGGGTTATGATCGCTCACGCACACACACGCACATGCACACACACACACACACACACACACATAAACACTGGGATCTGAGTCACGAGGCGGAGGCTTGTGGGAGATGGTGCTCGGCCTTCTAGTTACTTCATATGTTCTGTTTGAGATGCAAGTGGAATAACCCGCCCGGGTCCCATTGACCTTCTTTAACATGATGATGACTTGAACCGATGGTGCATTCAAGGTGTCCTCCTCAACTCGTAAAGTAACAAACTGGTCTTCATGTTCGAGTCATAACTTTTGTCGAGGAGCACCTGAACGCACCGCGGCGGGTCTCGACCTCAGTGGGCGTCGCATTTCAAAAGAGGAGGCGGAGCTTGAATTGCTGCTAATTCTGGATGTGACTGTTGACATCGGTGAGTGAACACACCCTCCATCCTCTGTTCAGGGTGTTTACTGAGACCACACACACAGATGGTACTGTGCGTGTGTGTGTGTGTGTGTGTGTGTGTGTGTGGGTGTGGGTGTGTGTGTATACGTGTCTCTCAGCTGTTTGTGTAAATGTGTGTCTGTGTTTGTGTGTCTTGGCGGAGTGTGTTTGTGTGGAACAGCTGTTTTCTGTCCGTCTTCACTATTCACCAGAAGAGATGAAGGAGGAGGACGAGGTGAGGAAGAGGAGGTGTGATGCGTCTGCTTCACATGTTACACTCTAAAACCAGAGAGGACCTCTGAGCTACATGCTAACATGCTAACATTAGCTCACTTCATCATCATCATCATCATCATCATCAAACTCTGGTTTATATTCTGCCTCACTGGAGCACCACATGTGGATTCATCTGAAAATAGTCCCTGAAAAAAGTCTCTGTTTCCTCCTTTAAGATGAAGAAAATATATATTTGTGTTTTAACACGTGGATATTTTTTTACAGTGTACTCTCTTCTTCACAGCCGCCCATTCTTCTGTCTCTGTAGTTTACATTAGGAGGGACCCCCCCCACACACACTCACACACACACACACACCCTCAAGTGTAACAGTCTGAGCTGTTCTAACATCACTCGTCTGCTGTTGAAAGATGCTTCAGAGGACATTCAGGAGGAAACAAAGACCAAACATTGGTACACTTTAAAGATCTCGTGAAGCTCATTCGTGTTTCTTTACAAAGTGAAATAGACTCATGAAGTGAACTTTGGGTGAATTTAAAAGCTCATTTTTTAATCTCAATGACTGTAAACCTGCACAGAAAGCCTTCACAGCTCTGGACCTCCTGATTTACTTTTTAAGGGAAATGTATTTTGTTGCCTAAATAAACCAAGTAGTTCAGGATGGTTTGTATTTAAATTTAATTTATTTAATTTTAATTTTGATTTCAATTTCTCCACACTGAGACCTCCGGCGTGGGCGCGTCTATGCCCTCAGTCAGGACTGTCAGGCTCAGCCTCGCCTATGTGGGACAGAAATCTGCTCCAGAGAGTCGACGCCCTGCTGGCCTTATTGGCACCACATGTGAGTCAGACTGTTAGTAAACACACACACACACACACACACTCACACACACACACACACACACACACACACAGCTCCAGACGGGAAACTAAATCTGAGCAACGCTGTCAAAGCGGCGGTAAACAAAGTGGTGAGGAGGCTTTAAAGCGTCCTCGTCCGTCTGACGGGAGGAAATGCCTGGATGCCAAACTCACTCATCGTCAGCCGGAGAGAAGAAGAAGAAGAAGAGGAGGACTGGAATGCTTTGGGAGGATCAAAGCAGAGAGAAGAAGAAGAAGAAGGAGACACGAGCCCGAACACCCTTCATGCTGAAGATCAATCAGCTGATCAACAGAAAGGAAGTTCTGTCAGCTTTCATGGTTTCAAACAGTTACACACCCACTCAACGCACGCGGCCCTGAACGCACCACGAACACCCTAAAAGACACTGAGGGACATCAAAGTGGATGAAGCCAAAAAAAGAAGTAGAGTGAACGTAAAAAAGTGAGTAATTCTAATTTTGCTGACTCTTTACATTCAATCAATGTAGAGATTTTAGTCTTCTCCTTTCAGACTAGAGGAGGAGACGAGGAGACAAGGAAACTACCAGAGAGACAGAGGAGACGAGGAGACGAGAACACTATCAGAGAGACAGAGGAGACAAGGACACTACCAGAGAGACAGAGGAGACGAGGACACTAACAGAAAGACAGAGGAGACGAGGACACTACCAGAGACACAGAGGAGACAAGGAGACTATCGGAGAGACAGAGGAGACAAGGAGACTATCAGAGAGACAGAGGAGACAAGGAGATGAAGACACGAACAGAGAGACAAAGGAGACAAGGACACTATCAGAGAGACAGAGGAGACAAGGAAACAGAGGAGAGACAGAGGAGATGAGATGAAGACACGAACAGAGAGACAGAGGACAAGAGGAGACGAGAAAACATTTGTAGATTTGTCCTAAATTCACCAGAAGTTATTAGATAACGCCTCATTTGCACAATTAAACAAAAGATAATTGTCTTAATGTGAGTAAAAAACTGGAGAAGTTTCACGTTGATTTCTATCAAAGACAAGAAAAAGATGAGAGAAGACGAAGACAAAGAAAATAAAAAAATGTGTCTGTCTCTTTACCGACCTGCCGTCGGTCCAACGGGTCGCCGGTTTGAATCCCAGGCGGACCGAGCCACCAGAATAGATCCAACAAAGAGCAGTTTATTCGTCTGGAGATGAAAGCGGGTCGTGGAATGTCGCTAATGATGTGTTCAATTAAGTCCAATTAGCCTGATTGTCCTTCTGTGTGTGAGGAGACAAACAGCACAGACGGACATTGTGTCGGAGCCGCTGAACGGAGGTCGACACTTCGTCTCCGCCAAGAATCCAGCTGTCCACTCCGCTCCCCCGCTCGCCGCCGCCCGACGTAATTACCGAGGTCCCTGAACGCATCGGTTATTCCTAACAAAGCACAGGACCGGCTGGGTGCAAAGTATTCTCACGAGGAAAACAAGGTCTGATTAGTTTTTAAATAGCTTCCCGGAGCTTTGAAGCCTCTTTTAGCTCACAGTTCTGGTTCCACATGGTTCTAAGCACGTTCCTATTGGTTCCTGAGGCGGTTAACAAGACCTCAGTGGCCATCAGCCAATCAGAACTCACGAACATTGTTGTGTTACATTTAGATATTCATCGGCAGGAACATTGTGTCTTTATACCGCGATGCGTTCAGGGTTCTCCTGTAATGAACCCACTTCACTAGAACCTGCTACAGACTACAGGAACCCAACCGGCACTGACAGAAACCACAGAAGAAGACGTCACAGTCCCGCCCATACCGCCTGACTGAGAGGTGAGCACAACCATTCAATTATAGATCAATTAAGATTATTTCATTGATTCTGATTCACTGAAACGCTGCACAGTTCACACGCATGTCTAATGTGATGAAGATGATTGTGATCAGACGATGAAGATGATAGTGATCAGAAGATGAAGATGATAGTGATCAGAAGATGAAGATGATAGTGATTAGAAGATGAAGATGATTGTGATCAGAAGATGAAGATGAT